GGATGAGGATATTCCGAAAATAGTATTCCGTACGTGGTATGGACACTATGAGTTCCTTGTTATGCCTTTTGGCTTAACTAATGCGCCAGCGGCATTCATAAACTTGATGAACCGCGTCTTTCACGATTACTTGGACCAGTTTGTGGTAGTTTTCGTAGATGACATTCTCGTGTATTCACGATCTCAAGAAGAGCATGAGGTCCATTTGAGTATTGTTTTACAAATTTTGCGGGAGCATCGATTGTATGCCAAATATGAGAAATGTGAGTTTTGGCTACAGGAGGTGAAGTTTTTGGGGCATGTTGTTTCAGAAGGTGGAGTGTCAGTGGATCTATCAAAGGTTGAAGCAGTTTTGAATTGGGAGCAACCCAAGAATGTTTTTAAGATTTGAAGTTTTCTTGGTTTAGCGGGTTACTACCGAAGATTTGTGAAGGATTTTTCTCGCTTGGCAGCGCCTATGACCCGTTTGACCCGAAAAGGGATTAAGTTTGCATGAAATGAAGCCTGTGAGTCATCCTTTCAGGAATTGAAGACAAGGTTGACTACGGCTCCAGTGTTGGTGATACTTGAACGTGGCTTGGGTTATGTGATCTATTGTAATGTTTCACATGATGGTTTAGGGTGTGTGTTGATGCAGGATGGTAGAGTTGTTGCTTATGGGTCTCGGCAGTTGAAGACTCACGAGTACATCTACCCTACTCATGATTTGGAGTTAGCAGCAGTTGTATTTGCCTTGAAGTGTTGGAGACATTACTTGTATAGCAAGAGATTCGAGGTGTACTCGGATTATAATAGTCTCAAATACCTTTTCTCCCAAAAGGACTTGAACAATAGACAGAGAAGATGGGTTAAATTCTTGGAAGATTACAATTTTGACCGTTTTTCTTTTGGGCTTTGGAGTCTTTCAGGGTTGTGTGGAATGGACTGATGTTTGTTTTGAGTTAGGCGTGGAGCCTAGTTGGTCTTGTTTTATGATGAGGTGAGAAATGAGTACCATTTTGGGTTTTGGTGACAATGGTGTGTATTTGCCGGATGATGTCCGGTGTCAAGGGCAATAATGTCTGTGGGTTCATAGTCTAGGAGTTTTGTAGGGCGATCTTGGTAAGAATGTGGCTGTGGGCCTCCTTCTTTTAAGGAGGGTAGATTGTGACGTTTCCGATTTTCAGCGTTTTTCATTTTTCCAGAATTTTGTTGCCGTAAGGGCGTTTCCGTCTTTTCACATTTTTCTTGCCGGACATTATGGAGTGTACTGGTTGTGTCCTAGAATTTGGTTGGGGCATTTCATTGAGTCCAGGACTCTTTGAAATGTAGGGGTGACCATTTTTACATTTTTCAGCTTTTCGAACCGGACGGTCCCATGTGGGACCCGCTACCGGAATTGTCAAGCATAGGGATTTTAATTGGATTCATTGGCATTATATGTATTTTATTTAATGTGTTGTGTATGGTTATGATTTAATATGTGTACATATGGGTGTGTGGTGAGAATTAAAGGGCAAAAGAAAAAGTAAAATTATAAAAGAAATGGGTGGGACCCACTACCACCATCTAAATGACTTAGAGACCACATTTTTGGTCTCAAAACTCACTTCTCCCGTAAGTCTCTCTCTCATCTCATTTCCTTGCATTTTTCTTTCAATTTCATAATCAAACTTCAAGCTATGATTCCATCTTCATTACTTGCCGGATTTAAGTGTCGTTTGAGGCAAAACGGAGAGCACGACGAGCTCTACGCATTGATACCAACAATTTCATATTTGGATCTCCCTAGCAACTTCGAAAATCTAGGCCATTTTGAGGGCTTTGCACAATTAAGAGGTAGGGGCCCTTAATCCATGAAATCTTGTACCTTAGTGAGTTAATTCCCTCTATTTGTTGATTAATTATTTGATACATAGAGAATTGTTGATATTTATGCATATATGTTGATTAAGTGACTATGTGTGTTAATTGTTCTATTTGAAGAGCATGTGTAAGAATTGACTATATGTGTTCATCTTGCTAGATTCTTGTTGTTTGAAAGTATGTTATTAGTTTCCTTAGAAATTCTTGTGAACTATGCTTTATTAATTAAACTTGGCCAATTGTGAAATGATGAGCATGGGCATGGCATTAATACATCTATGCACTAGCATTGGGCATAAATAAGAGAAATTGTTTTGAAATGAACAAGGGGAATTTGGGAAAGAAGTTTTGATGAAATGGTTTTGATTAAACCCGGTTGCTGCGGAATCACCAACGGGCCAGTAGGTTAATGTAACCTAGAGAGAATTAGGGAGATTGCCCTAGTGTGGTTGAGCTATTTGGGCCCCACGATGACGCTGCGGAGTCACCAATGGTCTAGAGACAGTAGCCAATCCTTCTCTCAGCGCTGGGGGGGTACCAAAGGGGGTTACATTAACGGTTTGAAAGTGATGGTTTTGAAAATGGGGAGCGACATCGGCATGCATTGCATCCCATAGCATTCTATTGTTTATAATGAGACTTGTTATTATGTTGTGTTATTCTAGACAATGTATGATCCACATTCCTATTGTCCTATTCTTTGGTTGTATTCACGGGAACATAAGAGACGTGTCTTAAGCGTCACCTACTGAGCATATTGTTTACCCCATCATATTCTACATTTTTCAGGTCATGGAAAAGAAGTAACTGACGATAATCCAATTTAGCCTTAGCTTGGAGTAGAGAAATGCCTATTTTCCTATCTTTTGTAAATGAACCTAATTTTGTAAAGTACTAACTCAAGGTGTATTATTTTTGCAATGTGTGTTGTATTGAGGTTCATTGTGTATATGGTTATTTGAGAGAATGTAATTAAGTTTTATTCACTCAAAATTAGTTTGTGTATTTTAAGTAACGTGTGGCAAATTACGCTAAGAATGTGGTGGTTGATATTGCAATTTTGTGTTGAAATGTGTTTAAATTTGTACGTGAATGTAGTGACGTGGGTGGTTAATTACCAAATGTTGGTGTATTTGGGTTATCACTGGACAGTGGGAGGTGGAAGTGAAAATTTCCCAGAACCGGTCCACGTGTGGCTTCCCATACGTCGACCGGTATCACATCCCAAACTAGTCGACGTATGACTTCCCATACGTTTCCATACGTCGACCGGTATCTCAGCAGTGGGTATTACCACTGTTCATAATCCAAACCAGTCGACGTATGATGCATATACGTCGATCGGTTTACGTTGTAATTACTATTTAAGTTCTTAAATTACACTTTGGCACCCAAGTGAGGTTACACGTAATTATTTTATGATCCAATAAATACAATAATTATATTTTAACCACTGAAAGGACTATAGCCCCGAACCTCATTTTATTTATTTATTATGGGATACAAGTAAATGACTATTACGTCATTTGGGTCTTAATTTATTGAAATATGAAAATTTACCATTTTGCCCTTTATGGACCTTGATATTTAAATTTAACGTGAAATGAATGTATTACCCTTGGATGTTTTTTGGTCGAGTAAGGACCCGTTTAATGATCCGGATCCATGAGGAGCTGGGTCGTTACAGTCATGCCGAAATTTTTTTAAAATTTTGGTATCAGTTATGGTCGTTACATTTTTTTATACAAAAAATATAAAACAACCACTGAAACTAAAAATAAGTAATATATATATATATATATATTGTGTAAATTTACTCTCTAATATATCATATTTACACAAAAACCATATAGACTACGGTTGGAGATGTTGTAACTAACTCTACGTAAATGTAGTTTTATAAATTTTAACATGAAGTTTAACAAGTTTACTACTGTAACTGAAACTGGATCACAAGATTAAGGGCTGGAGAGTTTAGGGGAGAGATTTGACTGTAGGGTATCCATTTCTACATTAACTCTGCTTTGGTGGTGGAAAGCGACATTCCATATGAAGTTGTGAAGATGATGGGACTCTCAATCAACAAGAAGTGTTTGAATTCCGTCAACCATGAAAGGTGCAAATTTGAATAAACTCCATCTCTTTAATTCCCAAAAGCTAAATTGACATTCAAATGAAAGGTGCAAATTTGAAAATATGATTTCAAAATTCTTTAATTAAAAGTGAACACTCAAAAAATAAATTGATGGGTAATTTTCGGGTGAGAACACTATATTATTGTCTAATGTGTTGGTACATCCTCTCAGTCAATAATATTACAGAGGTAGCACATAACTAACCAACAATAATTGAAAAGATATTGTAAAATACATAGAATATAATGACATAATACAACCCAAAATCAATAACACAACAAAGAATTTGATGGCATAATACAACCCAAAAATCAATAATACTCTCTCAGTAGTACAGGAGATAGTACAAGCCATATATTATATATGCATATTCAGACCAACTTATCTTAGATTGAAATTTTATGACAATTTAAGATTGGATTTAGATTGCTTGATACCTCAACCTTAGTTGAATTCAAATTTAGCTCCGGTTGAAAGGATTTATGAAAAAATTAAATTAAATTAAAGATTAGATTGGGATTCTCTCTGTGAAACTGCACTCTTAAACATGCCAAATCTTTCCTTCTAATTGCAGGAAATAATGTATCCTCGTATTATGCACTCTTTTAACATATAAACAATTGTAGCAACTAGCAAGGAAGGTACATTAATTCCATTAAAGAAAATTGCCAGCACCAAAAATATACAATGAATACTTTGCTAATTCCCTCTTATATAAACCAAGTGGGCCACTAGACACTCCCCATCCACCAATCCAATTAAATGCCCTAAAAATAACTGACTAAATAAAAACTTTCTATTCACCTTCATGTCTTTATGTCATTGGGTGGGTTGTAAAGTTAAGGGCAGTTTGATCTGCCACTTAAAAAATAGTTTTCTAAAATTTAAAAAGTAAGTCATTTTATAACTAAAACTTCTAGAAAATAAATTTTCAAAAACTGAAGCAATCATAGATAAATTTTTTAAGGGCATGTGGGTTGTAAACTGAACTCTGAAAGTTTACGCTGGGTGGGGTGAACCGCAACTCACTCACTCAGTAATAACAGTGGGGATTAACTACCTCGGATCAATAATTTCAAGTTGTAACGGTCTAACAAAACTGTAAAAATGGCGACAGCCACGTTCACTCCCCATCATCAACTACACAATAAGCCACAACTTCACTAGCAAAGAACAGCACAAAGTACCAACAACAACAAGGACAACAACGACTATCTTACCATCACTCCATGACACTGTTGATTCAAACCCATAATCAGTACCCATTCATCAATACATGGACAACATCCCCAGAACTCTGTCTGGGTTCTCCCAATCTACACCATATCTTCTCGTTCCATTCATACTTCTCCTGATTTCCACTGGATTCGCATCTGGGTTTGGATCAATGGGGCCAATCTCCGCCGCGTTCGGCCAAGATGGCTTCTTCTGCGCCATCGATGCCAGCGGCAAACAAGCCGTTATCTGTTGGGGCAAGAGCAACACCACCTTGACCTCGTCTTCTTCATCGTCATCATCGTCAAACCCGTCTGGCTATTCCACCAACATTCCGCCGATGGCTGCACTCTCTGGCGGCGACGGCTTTATGTGTGGCATTTTGGCGAACACTTCGCAGGCCTATTGTTGGAATTTGATCGGTTCAGGCACTGATCTGGTCCCTCCGGTCTTTAGAACCAACGCTTATTCGCATATCGCTGCCGGTAAGAATCATGTCTGTGCTATTAGAGGTTCTTATTATTCCGAGAATGATTCGGGTAGTGTTGATTGTTGGGACATTGTTAGAACTTCAAGCAATAGTTTGACTTCTAAACAGAGTGATATGTTTTATGATCATACTATGACTGAACTTGTTTTCAAAAAGATTGTTTCTGGTGAAGGGTTTAGTTGTGGTAGTGTTAGAGAAGGTGGTGTTGTCTGTTGGGGGCCTAATTCAGCAAGTTTAGGTGTTTCTGGGGTATCAGATGAATTTGTAGCCTTAGCTTCAGGAACGGGTTCTCTTTGTGGGGTGTCTGAAGCTTCTGGTGAGGTCAAATGTTGGGGTGAAGCTGATTCATTTCTGGCTCCTCCGTTTGGAACTCGATTCGTGTCCTTGACAGCTGGGGCGCAATATTTTTGTGGGATTCGAGAAGATAATCATGGGATTGAGTGTTGGGGGAGCTTTAATTCATCTTTGATCCCAAAGAGTTCTGGGTTTTTCGCAATTGGTTCTTCTGATCTCATTACTTGTGGTATTAGAGAAGATAATTTGGTTCTTGATTGCTGGTTTGCTAATGTATCGTCATCCCCTGACTATGATCCTCCATTGCAGCTGTGTAGTCCGGGTCTATGCACCCCTGGTTCTTGTGGTCAAGGGAAGTTTACATTCAATGCTAGTATTCTCGATGAGCCAGATTTGACTAGCTTGTGTCTTCGGAAAGATCTAATGATTTGTTCTCCTTGTGGGTCCAATTGTTCTGAAGGATCCTTCCTTTCTAGTTCATGCAGTGCGAATGCTGATAGAGTATGCACGGCTTGCTCTCTTTGCCAGAACAGCTCTTGTTGGGATGTTTGTAGGCTTCAATCATCGGTAGATGTTCAGCGAAAGCATCAGCATCAATTGCACAAGTTACTGATTATAGTTGCATCTTCTGTTTCAGGTTTCCTTTTGCTAATAATTGGCTGGTGGCTTTTTCCCCGTGTGATTGCCACCAAAAATGAAGAAGGGACAAAGAAACAATTTGCATCCTGCATATGCAAACCGGAGTTGGAAACTGAAGCTAATATAGACTCATATCCTTTTGTTTCTGTGGCCTCCTGTCCTGGAGAGGCACAAGTTTTCCGTCTCTCGGAGCTGAAGGATGCCACTAATGGGTTCAAGGAGTTTAATGAGCTTGGCAGAGGAAGCTATGGTTTTGTTTACAAGGCTGTTCTTGCAGATGGGAGGCAAGTGGCTGTCAAGAGGGCCAATGCTGCCACCATAATCCACACTAATAGCCGGGAATTTGAAATGGAGTTGGAAATCCTTTGCAATATACGGCATTCAAATATTGTGAACTTGTTGGGATACTGCACAGAAATGGGGGAAAGGTTGCTTGTTTATGAGTTCATGCCCCATGGGACACTTCATGACCACCTCCATGGAGGGCTTTCTCCTCTGAACTGGAGCATCAGGTTGAAAATTGCAATGCAGGCTGCAAAGGGGCTTGAGTACCTTCACAGGGAAGTTGTACCTCCAATTGTCCATCGGGACGTTAAGAGTTCAAATATTCTTTTGGATGCTGATTGGGGAGCACGAATTTCAGATTTTGTCCTTCTCACTCCAAATGAGAAGGATATCCGCGAAGACGTGAGAACCGATGTCTACAACTTTGGGATTGTACTGCTGGAGATTCTTAGTGGAAGGAAAGCTTATGATAGAGAATGCAATCCTCCAAGTATAGTTGACTGGGCAGTACCTCTTATAAGACAAGGTAAGGCAGCTGCCAGCATTGATCAGTATGTGGCTCTTCCAAGAAATGTTGAACCTCTGCTTAGACTAGCTGATATAGCAGAGCTTGCTGTAAGGGAAAATTCTAGTGAGCGTCCTACTATGTCAGATGTTGCACTCTCTTTGGAACTACTCGTGAAGGATGGGTTGATCTTGTAGTTTCAAATTGGATGCTTATTTATTCATTGTGATTGAGTTATTTGATAAACATAGACGTGAGATAGCAGCCTCTGGTGAGTAGTGCTCTCCTGCAACTGTACATTTGTTATGGGCTTCTTGTACATTGCATTGCTTACCAACTCACCCCTTTTTCTCCCAAATAAAAAAGAAAATTCTTTTTAGTTTCTCTGTGTTCTTCATGTCACAAAGTGAAGGAGAATACAATCGTTGTACCATCCTATGTTTGTTCTTTTGCTGGAAGTTTATACAGTAATTTTGCGCTTCTCGTCGCTCATTTGTTCGTTAGCATGATCTTCTTAGGTTAACATTTTGGCACTCTCCTTTGGCTATAGCAATATGATCTTCTTGGCTTAAAATTTTAGTACTGTCCTTTGGCTATAGCAATATTCTGATTTGGAGATGATCGTGATGTGATTATGAAAACAACAATACTTGTTATAATAACTAAAAAAAATTATGCAATCTATCTCACAAGATGATCATGATGTGATAATGTTGGAATGTTTTTTCTGCTGGAAAACATGAATATGATTCAAAATTTAGGGAATATAAAACTTTTAGCATTATTGGACTGGTATAGGTTTGGAACTGTATCTGTCCAATATCAGTGGATATGAATGGATTCTTTTGTTAGACCAACACCAAACCCAGAAATTGGAGGGCCGTTTTGCGGAGCTCGGGAGCTGATAGCAAACATAAAACCTTTGTCAGATTGCTTATGAACAATGAATCCTGATTAAAAAAAAAAAAAACTTGGAATTATGAAGCTAAATTGAATAATTCGAGTAAGGCTTTGTTGAGTGCGTGAGGATACAATAAGTAATATGGGCCGGTTATAGTCCGCAGACGTGGCATCGGGGCAAACAATTGAAATACAGCCCATACAAGAGCACCACAGAATGGGCCGAGCTCGGAGGATCCACCGAAGAAGACCAAGCCCATTGGAAAGAAGGCCCAAAACTGATAGTCCAGCAGCACTTGTAATTGCCTATAAAAAGGCAGCGAAGAGAGTGAAAGAGGGAGAGATTTATTTTTAATTGAAAATGTAATGAGATTCTGTCCAAAGAGAGAGAGAGAAAATTCTTTGCATCTTCAATTGGCGCCGTCTGTGGGAAGCGTTGGAGGTTGATTCTTGTTTGATCAACGTCATGTTGATTCAGACTGATTGGTGACGACGAAGCTTGATTTCTAGAAGTTTAATCCAGATCTAAGAGATTGCGGTTTGCTCTTGAGAAGTTCTTGATTCTTGATTGATTTTAAGAAATTGGCGTTAGGTTTACGCAGCTGTGATTCACTCTATCGCGGCTCGATCCAGCAAGCTCAGACGTCGGAAAAGCTCTGATCTATCAAAGGGAGAACATAACTCGTAAATTTGAGTCCAGATCTGACGTGATTCGCGTCAGCGAGACTCAGATCTAACTTAGAATTTGTGATTCATGCCTTTGCTCCGTTCTGGAATGATGACTGGGGGTGAGAACTCCAACACGGTAGAGAATGTCCAGCAGATGAAACTTGATGAGTTGATGAGCATGATTGAAGCTCTCAGGAGAGAGAATGCAGATCTAAGGACTGAAATACAGCGTCAAGAAGTTCCGGTGATTCTGCGACCGCGGCCAGCCGGAGAAGAAGTTGTATGTACCGATGCGGCACATCACGGTGAGGAAGTAGGGAACAATCAGACAGATCTTCATGTTGATGATCTTCATGTTGAACAATCAAACGATTTGCCGCCAAATCCCCGTCGTGTTGATGATCATGAAAGATCAACTCATGTGGATCCATGGCGTGAACAGATCAGGCGAAATGAAGCCATGACTTTCGATCCGCATCAAAAAATGCTCAGCCGAGAAAAAGCAATGGAGTTTGGTCGCCATAAAGCTATACCGCCGTGGCACAAAGAGTTTATTAAGGAAAGATCATTCGATCCGACTTATCGGCCTTCCCTGGCGACGCTCGACTATCGCAGCTCAGAAAGGAGATCTATAGATCAGAGAGCAACCGCGGGGTTCCAAAGGGAAAATGAAGCCCTCCGTTCAGCAGCTCGGACGGTTGATTCGCCATTCACTGATGTAATTCTGAATGCTCCGAGTCCGAGGAAATTTTCTATGCCCGTTTTTATTCTGTTCGACGGAACGACTCAAATTCAGTTGAAAATGACTCTGAACACTGAGAATGATTCCTTGATATGCAAGTGCTTCCCTACAAGTCTAGCTGTACCAGCGCTCAATTGGTTCAAGAACCTGCCGAGGGGCTCAGTGGATAGTTTCCGAAGCTTGTGTGATCGGTTCATAAGCCAATATTATGAAAATAAACGTCCAGTAAAGGACATTTCGAGCCTATTCACAATGAAGCAGCATAAGGACAAATGTCTCCAAGCTTTCCTAACCAGGTTTAACCTTACTAAGAGCATGGTGATTGAATGTCATCCTTCTACGGCGGTTCAAGCGTTTATATTGGCCATGACTCGTGGCACTCCATTCCACACAAGCTTGGTAGTGAATACGCCGAAAACTATGGATGAACTTAATGAAATAGCTGATGGATTTGTGCGCTTGGAAGAAGAAGAGGCAACTAACGCTCAGAAGACATCCATCATATCAACAGAAGAGAAAACCAAAGCAAAGATCAGACAAAAACAGGTTCAGCCACAGCGTCAGACCTCGTGGAAATCTGAGAAGAGGCCCAGGGAGGAAGAGTTGGTTACTCCATTGAAAGTCACCTTAGCAAGGTTGTACCATGAAAATAAAGATAAGTTTTGATCTCCTTTACCAATCAGACAACCCCTCGACCAGAGGGATCAGTGTAAACATTGTGCATTCCATTCTGACTTTGGCCATCAGACTAATGAATGCAGGAACTTAAGGAGACAGGTAGAGATGCTGATAGCTAGAGGGGAGTTCGCAAGTTTTATTCAAGGCCCGGCGGTGGAACAGAACTGACCGATGGAGCAAGTGAAGAGGAATCAGAAGTTGAACTCCCATAATACACAACCAATTCGAATAATCAATGCAATTCACGGTTGGCCTGAACCTACTGAGGAGTCAGATGAACTGCTTCGAACACGTCTTCGCCAGGCACAGATGAAGAGGAGGATAGGCAGTATAAACACTCTGCACAAACAGAGCGCATCAACACAGATAAAGTTTGACAGGACAAATTTGTTGCGTGTTCAGATCCCTCATGAGGACCCGTTAGTCGTCAGTTTGATAGTGGCCGAATGTTTGGTACGCAGAGTTCTGATTGATCCTGGAAGTAGTGCGAACGTCAAGCCGAGGGACACATTTGATTGGCTCGAGATTAAGCCAGACCGGCTCAAGTCCACTGGGAATCCTTTGCTAGGATTTGATGGAAAACGAGTGGAGCCCATCGGTACGGTGGAGGTAGCAGTGCATGCTGCAGAGAGGGTTCTGATGGAGACCTTTGTAGTTGTCGAGATTCATCCCTCTTACAACCTTCTGATGGGCAGAGGGTGGATCCACAGAGTTCAAGGTGTTCCTTCCACTCTGCACCAAGTAATGAGATGCCTAGGGCCAGACGGAACCAGGGTGATTGACATTCATGGGGACCAGGTTGCAGCTAAGGAATGTTATTCAGTAACGCTGAAATATGCTGGAAAAGGGAAAGCACCCATCCGTTTGGCAAACCCAAGATATCAATTACAGGAGCCTCCCCCCAAGCAGAATGGGGAGGAGGAACCAGTGGACTTGACCGAAGAACCCCTAGTTGATGTACAGATCGATCGGTTCCGACCAGAACGAACAACCAGAGTGGGGGAACGACTTGCTGAGGAGGAGAAACATGAGTTAGTTGATTTCTTGTCTCAGAACGCCGATGTATTTGCATGGAGCCACCTAGACATGCCTGGAATCAATCCTTCTGTATCCTGTCACTCCTTGAATGTTAATCCCAATGCAAGACCTGTAAAGCAGAAGTAGCGAAGGTTCACTCCATAGCGTAACCGGATCATAGCCGAGGAGGTTGATAGGCTGCTTGATGCGGGATTTATAAGAGAAGTGTACTATCCTAACTGGTTGTCAAACGTTGTTGTTGTGCAAAAGAAGAATGGGAAATGGCAAGTGTGCATTGATTTCACCAATTTGAACAAAGCCTGTCCGAAGGATAGCTTTCTGCTGCCAAAAATTAATCAAATGGTGGATGCTACTACTGGGTATGAGCGTTTAACCTTTTTGGATGCTTATTCAGGTTATAATCAGATCCCCATGGACTCTACTGATGAAGAGAAAACTTCTTTCGTTACCGAGTGCGGAACCTATTGCTACAAAATTATGCCGTTCGGACTGAAGAACGTCGGAGCAACTTGCCAAAGGCTTATTAACAAAATTTTCAAGGGTCAAATAGGGAAAACCGTGGAAGATTACATTGATGACATGGTAGTAAAAAATAAGAAGAAAGTTGACCATCTGAAACATCTACAAGACGTATTTGATGTGTTGAAACAATATGGAATGAAACTCAATCCAACCAAGTGCTCATTCGGCGTGAGTTCTGGTCAATTTCTGGGACACGTGGTCAATCATAGAGGCATAGAAGCTAGCCCTGCCCAAGCAGAAGCTCTGACTAAAAATGCCGAGCCGACGACAGTCAAAGAAGTGCAAACACTTACGGGACAGATCGCTGCATTGAGCCGGTTCATTTCCAAATTGTCAGATCGCTGCAAACCATTTTTTGACACAATACGAAGCCATGGGAGACAAATTTGGGGGGATGAACAGCACCGAGCATTAACTGGTCTGAAAGAATATATGCAGAACCTTCTGGTTCTGTTAGCTCTGGAACCAGGAGAAAAGCTATTTTTGTACCTTAGGTTATCCAGCATCGCGACAAGTGGCGTTCTGATCCGTTGTAAAAAAGGGAAGCAATATCCAGTGTTCTATGTTAGCAAAACGATGACTGAGGCCGAACGACGTTATTCAAAGGCCAAGCGGGTGATACTCTCGCTAATACATGCGAAAAGAAAGCTCAGGCATTATTTTGAATCCCATCCTATCATCGTTCTAACCACTTTCTCTATCAGAATAATCTTGCACAAGCCGGACCTCTCAGGAAGGATGTTGAAGTGGGCCATAGAGTTAAGCTCATTTGACATAACATATGAACCCAGAACGGCAGTCAAAGGGCAAGCAGTGGTAGATTTTTTACT